CTTCAAATCAAGACTCTTATCACTGAATAATAATTTTAAGATCTTGGGAATTCTGCTTGACTCTTTCTGAGCCTCAATTCCCATATTTATAAAATTGGATTGTAGTGAAGAATCAGCTGGATAATGCTTGTTACTCCTAAATGTAATGCTTAAAACGAGCAAAGGGGAGAAAGAGAGAGAGAGAGAGAGGTGAACCAAGAAGCCGACTCTTAACTAGAGAGAACAAACTAATGGCTACCAGAAAGGGAGGTGGGTGGGGGATGGGTGAAATAGGTGATGGGCATTCAGGAGAACATTTGTTGTGATGAGCACCGGCTGTTGTATGGAAATGTTGAATCACTGTATTGTACACCTGAAACTAATATTATAGTGTGTGTTAACTAAATGGAATTTAAGTAAAAACAAACAAAAAACCCAGCCCTTAGCAAATAATAAGCACTCTTAAATTTTTTTTAATTTTTTATTGTTATGTTAATCACCATACATTACATCATTAGTTCTTGATGTAGTGTTCCATGATTCGTTGTTTGTTCATAACACCCAGTGCTCCACGCAGAATGGGCCCTCTTTAATACCCATCACCAGGCTAACCCATCCCCCCACCCCCTCCCTGCACTCTTAAATATTTGATGTTGCTAATATTATTTTGTCTTGGTTTTATTGTTTATCACATGTAAATTTTACAAGTTCTGGGAAAATAATGCACTAATGAATTTTGAGTTATTGATTAACTCAAATTCGATTCAGCAAATTAAATTCTTCAAATGCATAATAGTAACCTAAACTAATTATCTGTTTGCTATTAAATAGATTTTGAAGCTTCTCCTTAAAAGGTAATAGGCATTTTACAATAACGTTTACTTGCTTGCAGTGGCTAATCTAGAATTTTGGGGAAGAGTAGGTTTATGTACAGATAATTTAATCATAATTATAGAAATACCTATGCAGACTGGCTTTATAAGCAGGTTCATAATATAAATAAAATTTTAGGCATAACTTCTTATACTGAATGAAAATATATTTTCTATAGTGAGATCTAGGTTAGTGTAATTTTATTTTTTTTTGATGGTGTATAGCATTCATGTCTTTAATTTCAGTGTATTTTCTATTGCAGTTTTATGCATAAGTAGACTTTGTCAAATGTTTTCATGCCTAGAACTGTTTCTGGCCAACTTATGGTATCATGTCATTTGAAATAATAAATATTATTTTAATTCTGAGATAAGGATGAAAAATAGAAGTCTGAAGATTTTTAATGTTTTCTTTTAGAAAATGTTTTATTCTTGTCTACAACCATACTACTGTTTTAAAATTTAAATACATAAAATATTTTCAAAGAATGTAGAAAATGAACATTTAGGTGATGGATAAGAAAGGAGTTGTGTGACTAATATATTTATGTTAAGCGTCTTTCTCCTTTTTCTGATGGGGAAAGATTTTTTTTGTTAAAAATTTGTCCAAAGTCACAGTATATCTGTCTAAAAACTTGTAAAATAAGATTTGCCCATCATGTGCCAGTTTGGTTTGTATTTAGTCAGTGAAATCTTTCACGTGGAGTAGGATGAACAAAAGGAGGAAAACTCTCAAATCTTGTATAATTAACCCACCTTCACGAGAGCACTATACTCATACTTGCCTCACTTTACTAGGCATCCACACTGAAATAGTCTGACATTTCTAATGTAATATGTGAAAAACTAAACTCATTATCTACCTCTCTCTTTCCAATTCCCTCTTAGCCCTCATGCCCTAAACTATATCTCTTTCCCTTTATATTTTTTCATTTTGGTTCATGGTGTAAGCATTAACTCATTCACACAAACTAGAAACTTTAGAATTATCTTCAGCTTCTCTTCATCTTCTACATCTAAGCGATTAAGTTGTTATCTGTTTTCCTTGAACAAAAACTAGAGTTCACCCCTCTTCTCTGTCACCACTGTTACTTCTTCATTTAAGAGCTCCTCCTACTCTTAATCAGGAAAAACAAACAGAGGGTTGCTGGAGGGGAAGGAGGTAGAGGGATGGGGTAACTGGGTGATGGGCATTAAGGAAGGCAGGTGGTATGAGCACTGGGTGTTATATACAACTGATGGATCACTGAACTCTACCTCTGAAACTAAAAATATATGTTAAAATTAATTGAATTTAAATTAAAAAAAAAAAGAACGACTCCTGCATAGCCACCAATCACTCCCTACCATATTTCAGTTTTCTGAATGTTTTAAGCAGTATAGTTCTGCAAATACAAAATCTTTAGGATGGTATTCAAGTTTCTTTGATATTTTGGATCTTGCTTTTATCTCCAGTCTCAGCTCCTCTGGTGTATTCTAGATCTTCCCTGAGCACACATTCATTCATTCATTCATGCATTTACAAATGTTTATGTAACATCAGCTATGTGGCATTGTGCTAGGTGTTTTGAGAACATGGAGGCGAATAAGACCGACATGACCATGACCCATTAGTGCTTCTAGAATGCCATGCACATTTTGTGTCTTTTACTGTGCTATTTCATCTGTCCCTTCACTATTTGATAGTTTTATTAATCTTTCATACCCTACTCAAGTGTTACCTCCTTTCTGTAGCATTTGTAACGTCCCCAGGTGGCATTTCTTTGTGTTCCAGTGATACTTTCTATTCCTGCCTCTATTACAGCACTTACTGTGTTATATTTGTTTATAGTTGATTCCCCTCCACCCCAGGTTAAATTTTCAAATGCAGAGGAGGGAGATGAAAAGAGAAACACAGAAATAAGGACTGAGACATGAGATAGGAAGAGGCAAGGAGAGGAGAGAGGGAATGCAGGAGAAGCAGTATGAACAGTAGTTAAAAGCACAGACCCTGTAACCAGACACGGTTTGAATCCTGACTCTTCCACTTGTAAGCTGGGCACATAATTTAATGTCTCCATATCATAATTTATAATGAGGATAGTAGTCTGATTGTGAAGACTTAAAAAGTTAATATATGTAAAGTACTTAAAACAGTCCTTAGTACGTAATATATGGTATATGTATTTTTTGCTATTTTTGTTAGCAATAGTTAGCTTTTTTAAGTGAGGTGAGCTATGTTTTCTCTCATTTAGTCTTTTAAGAGATGGGAGATTTTCAGGTTGCATATTATTTAACCCTGTGTGTTCACTTAAATGCATCAAATTTTCAAGTGTATTTGGGACCTGGGTAAGCTTAATATTGAATATAAGCTTACTGAGCATTTTGCCTTTTATACCAGGTCCTGGCCTGCTTCTGACTTTCCTAGCTATAAGAATTGCTGAAGATAATTCTTCTGTTTTTATTTTTACCTCCTCCTTCAGGCTTGATGCATACCACTGTTTTTGGTAATAAGGCTTAGATTTTTAAGTTAAAATACTGTTCTCTTTTCTGACTATTCTCCAGCCTGAAAAATGAGACAGTCAGGGTTAATGTCTGGGCATGACTTCTTGTTTTTAGTAGCAGGATCTGTTCCTCGGCCTGATATTTAGACTGCATTTCTGTTCAGTCTCTCCCCTTTTCCTTCACAATGTCACTCTGCTCCATCCTCTACCATAATGATACTGTTGATCCAGCTTTGAATAGATTATAATGTCCTAGCAGTTCTACACCTGGGATGGCTGATTTTCACAAATAATGAAAAGCTAGGAGATAAAAACAGTCATCATCGGACTGGTTGGTGACTTCATTTTAAACAAATGAGTTTAGATGCTAATTGCTGTGGCTCTTCTGATTAAAGCAAGAATCTTGGAGGAGATGACATCTTAGTTGCTGCTTGAGCAGTGGAAGAAGAAAGAGTAGATTGTAGGTTGTAGAGGATATTTGAGGCTTAGGATTCATTCCCATCTAATACTTGAGGGATGTATGGATATCCCTTGAGGCATGGGGGATGCAAAATTTAGTTCCTATTTAACTCCAAATGACTGGTATAGTGACAAATAATGCAAACGTTGAAAGAGAGATTGCTGAGGATTGGAGGAGTTGTAGATTTTGGTGGTGGTGGTTCTCACTGTACAAGGTCTCCATGTATGATTTCATGTATTCTCTTGAGATCAGATTCTCTTGAGAATCTGGTTTATCATAGCAAAGTTTCATTGAGTTCCTGGAATAAACAGTGATTTCCTGTCTCTGGACCTTTGCACTTGCCATTTCTTCTGGCTGGGATAGTGTTAACTTGCTAATTCTTAATAATTCTTAGAATATAATCATGGGGTTCACAACTTTCAGAAAAGCCTACTGGACCCTTCAACACTGGTGTAAGTGTTTCTGTAGCTCATAGTCCCTGTTCTTCCTACTCCCAGCCTGTGTTACGCCATGTTGTAAGTGCCTTCACCAGACTGTTCGTGGAAGACAGGGACTGTGTATGTGGTAATGCCTGCTGGTCCAGAATATTTGTTGATTGAATGAATGAATGGGGTATGGTAGAGAGCAGACTTGGTCATTCCAGGTGAGGGGAAGAAGATGAACAAAGACAAGGTGTGTGGTAATGCATATAGCCAATTCAGAGGCAGTGGGTGGAACCATTTGATTAGAGTGTAATATCGAAGAGAGAGGCTGGAGCTTTGAATGCCACGTTAAGTCCAGAGTTTATTAAATAAAATGGCCACTGAAGCTTTTAGAGATAAGAATAATAATAAATGTTCTTATAAATTTGGCTAAGTAAGATATCTGTGGGAAGTAATTTTTTCTAATTCTTGTGCTAAAATTTTTGTAATACTCTTAAATGGACTAAATATGTAACTGCCTATTTTATGAACTCTTGTCTTTTAAGATTGCTCCAACATAATTTATACAGACACTTTTAGATTTGAATAAGTACTGTTGAATGAATTGTGAACAGCTCATTAAACTATGTAGTTTGTTTTTCTTATAAACCTATGTAAACTATGACAATTAAAAAGTATAATTCGACTAAGGCAGTAATCTAACATATGTGTAGGGGTTTCCTTCTTATTTGTAGCTTAAAGGAGAATAAATGCTTACAGATGTGACTTTTTTTTCTCTAGTCTCTCCAGAGGCAGTTGGATTTTTGTCAGCTGTTGGGGTGTTTATTATCTTGATGCTGCTCCTTTTTCTCTATATTAATAAGAAGTTCTGTTTTGAAAATGTTGGCGGGTTTCCAGATCTTGGTTCAGGATACAGTACAAGGAAGAACTCACAAGATAAAATTTGTAAGTATCATCACTGCTTTTCTTATTTGTTCTTTATATCTATACCATTCTGTTATTTTATTTTTTTAAACATAATATGGTGAGGTTGGTTTTGACATACTGTAAACTAACATTTGAGTCACTTTTCTGTGAGAGTAAAAAAAAAAAAGTCTATTAAGTAAATTATGTTCTATTATCTTTCTGTTCACAAATTGCTAACATATCGCATAAAGATGAATTGCATACTATCAGAAAATGACATTTTTATTTTTCATATATAAGGTGTGCTTCTGAGCCTGTAATATGAGTAGATATGCTTTAAGAAGGAAGTATCTTTCTTCTCTATATAGCTTAAATCATACTGTCCAAATAACTCTCTAGAGAGCTTTTCCCCCTTATTCCCATAGAAGGCTTTTTGAAAGTATTCACGCTTTTTCTTTACCTGCTGTTGAATTCTCAGCTGATGGATAATTTTATTGTTGGAGAAAGTGGTTTTCTCTATTAACTTAGTGTATAGATAAAGTCTGGTTATAAAAATTAGTGTTCCTCTCCCTCCCTTGGTACCAGAGGCATGATATCACTTTATATCACTTACTACTACTACGTACCAGGAGAGATGAGGACTGTAATCTTGTTCTTTCTTTCATGAAAAGTATTCTGTGGAGGTTTTTTTTTTATATTATTATAAGAGTTTTTTATTTGCTGTTTCCAAAGACTGGCTTGTATAAATGATAGCAGAAGCGAGTTGAGAATTATAAAAGCAAGGCGTTAATTTAGAACAGTATTGCAGAGCATTAGCAGAAAAACCTTGCTCTTGTCTGTGTACTGTGTTGGAGAGATGTTTTTCTCTTACTCTTGGTAACTTAAAAAGTGATAGCATTATTGTTTATAAAAATCTATTGGTTATTGAATTACGTCTGTGACTTCTGCATCAGGAAAGTGTAGTACTTTCGTGAGTTTGATTTAAGTTTAATGTTTCTCATACTTCAGTCTTGCTTCTTGATCATTTGTGTAGAGTTGAACTGGTTAAAGATATCTCTCTGGGCAGCCGCCAGGAATCCCCTGGTTCAGCATTTCTGGTTTTTCTCTGGTCTAATGACTACCTTTACACTCTTAAAAATTATTGAAGACCCCAAAGAGCTTTTGTTTACATGAGTTGTATCTTTTGATATGTACCATATTAGAAGTTAAAACTGAGAGAATTTAAAAATATTCTTATCAACTTATTTGTTTAAAAAAAAAACCCAATAACTTGTTGTGATGAGCACTGGGTATTATTTGTAAATGATGAATCACTAAAATTCTGCTCCTGAAACCAGTAGTACCCTATATGTTAACTAACTAGAATTTAAATAAGAACTTAGAATGAAAAAAAAAAACCCACAAAAAAACCAATAAGCCCATTACATACATGTTAAATATAAGTAACATTTTTTAACTTAAAAAACTATATATTTTTTACCCCCCCCCAAAAATGGTGAGAAAAGTGCCATTGTTTTATATTTTTTGCAAATCCCTTTAATAACTGGCAAAGAAGAACCAGCTGTTATTCTCATGTCTGCTTCTGCATTCAATCTACCATGTAGCCTCTGGAAAACTCCAGTGTTCATTTATGAGCAAATGAAAGTGAAAAAGTTAAATATCCCCTCACTGTTATTATAAAAATAGTTTTGACCTTGAGGATCCTTTGGAAATGTTTTGGGAACATTCTTACTTTTTCTGAGCTTTTTTTTTTTTCCACTTATTAAATAGGAATAATAACATTTACCTCCTAGAGTTATTGTGAGATCGGGTATGATAAAACTTGTAAATCACAATGCCTTGCATCTAGTAGGCACTCTGCAGGTGTTCACCCTCTACTCTTTTTTCTATCCTGACCTCTGTGCAAATTGCTTATTTTCCCCTTAGTAGGTGTCTTAATTTGAAATGATATTGGTAGTTTGTTAATAATATAGGGTAGTTCCCCTACATAGACTATTAGTAAATAAACCAAAAGTCCATAATAAAAATCCTTTTTATACTTCTTCTTGCAGGTATAGAATAAAAAAACCCATAGTATTTGAGGGGAAAATATTGTCTTGCTGCTGTTATGATAGCTATGGAGTGGGAAAAAATGTCATTACATTTAAACCAAGAGGTTTGATTTTTTTTTTCTTTTGGAAGAGTCTTTACTTCAACGTATTTCTTTCAATGCATAATGCATTTACAGAAAGATTAAAAGCCACAATGCAAAATAATGATACCGAGCTCATGAGTAACAATATTTAAGTACATTTTAAATTCAAGTTCCTAAGTGGTTGATACTTTGAGAAGAGAAAATTCCATTATTGCATCTGTTAGGAATAAGGAATTAGAAAATGGCATTTTTCAAAACTTTCCAGCAGAATCTGCCTTCAGTGTCTTCTCTGGTGGACACAATCAGTAATGCTGTAGAAGATTTAACCACTGCTGTTGGGGAAGTCAGCTATGCTTTAACTGACTCAGTTGCTGAACAGGTAACAAGTATGATAAATGGCTTTCGCCCAGAAGAAGAAAGCTCGGCAGTAGCAGAAGCTGTAGTAGATGCTTCTAAACAAGCAAATGCCATGTCACCAGAAGTCTCCAGAGACACTACTTGTCAGAAAACACAGTCCAGTTTAGAGCACAGAGCAAATCGAATCAGTTGTTACAATACTTCAGTTTCACAAAAGCAAGATCACAGAATGAACGAAGAAAGAGTATTCAGACATATTAATGATAGGCAACGGACTCTATCAAAATATCAAGAAGGCAGTAATGCTGGTGGTGATTCTTTGAAGGCTCACCTGAGTGAGGGTGAGATATCATTTATCAAGCAGAGTGCACGGGCTGGATCTGCTTGTCAAGAACTTGAACATACTGACAGATGTAAAAAAGTTGGATTAGGAATGCCCGATGATGGTAAGAATGATTTAAAGGAGGTAAGATGCCAAGAAATGGAAGAAAATCATTTAAAGAAAGCTGAAAAACATATTAAAAGTAAAGGATCCAAAGGGAATGAGTGGTCAGGAAATGAGTGTTCTCCAAAAGATATCTTGGCAAGCAACAGACATGTGATACAGGAACCCATTATGAAAGAAGACATAGATCCAGCACCAGCAGCTGATTCTAAAGATAAGTTACACGGAAAAACTAAAGAACAGAAAAATCCAACAACGTCTTACAAAGTGAAAGGAGACATACGAACAAAGAAAACTGAAGCCATTTCTGCCCACAAAGGAACAGCAAAGAGTAAAGATGAAAAATATTCTAAGATAATACCAGAAAAAGGTGAGGTCTCCTACTGTGGGTTTGAGTGCTAAACTTTTCTCTTGATTTTTTAAATTAAGAAAACATCCAAATTTCCAAACTTTCCTACACATGTCTATGTGTCTAATTTAAGATTTTCTTGAATCCTCTTACTGGGAGACAATTTTAAGGTCATTCATTTTTTTTTTTTCTGACCATCATTTTGAAAGCATTCATGTTCTTTGTACACTGCTAAGTTAAATATTGTCCCTGGTCCCCGCATTATTTGGCTGATTTTTCTTAATGATTGTTTATTAGACAACCAGAGACTTCATAGTTTTAAGTAGTGTGCATTCTCTAGTTGGAGTGTATTTAGTGTGCTAAAGTTGAATTTTGAAATTTTATATTTTTGTAACTAACTCCTGAGACCTTTATACTATGTTGCCCTTCGAGTCTATCCCAATAAGAATTTGTATCAAGTGTTTTATATTTTTCCTTTAGAGCAATAGAGTTTTTTTATTTTATTTATTTTTAAAAATTTTATTTATTCACTTGAGAGAGAGTGTGAGAGCGTGAGCAGAGGGAGGAGCAGAGGGAGAGGGCCAAGCAGACTCCGTGCTGAGCTTGGAGCCCGATGAGGGGCTCCATCCCCTGACCCTGAGATCATGATCTGAACTGAACTGAAATCAAGAGTCAGATGCTGAACTCACTGAGCCACCCAGGTGCCCCTAGATTTTATTTTATTGAATAACATGTGGCTCAGGATATGTGCCTATTCATTTAGCCACATATCAAGAATTTTATATGAGTTCTGTGTTTACAATGAGTATATGTGAACAATCTATTATTTTTTATGAGTTCTCTATGTAGAATTAAGATTCCAACTAATCATTTATAGTTTTTAACTACAGTATTTGTGACAATTTTCAAAACAGTGAGCCGACAGTTATTTGGGTTGGTTGCAGAATTGCTTTGTATGGCTAGTGGTTACATCTGTTAATCCCTTAGTCATTTCCATTTGTTGCTGATCTGATCACAAGGCCAAAAGTACACTGGCTTTTATTAAAAAAATATGTGTGTGTATATATATATATATATATCTGACATTTTTCTATGAATTTAGATTCTCATAAAAATAAAAATCTGAGTGGCAGTAGAAATGAGGAAGACTTTCAGTTCTTCATGAATTCATACATAATCAGGATCTGCTGTTTATCAACTATATGAATGATTTTTAAGTGATATCATAGAGGCTGATCCAGGATGGATAGATTAATTAAAAAGGAAAGCCAGTTTTTGGAAATATGTCCATTTTGGAGTCTGTTCTGCTAGCAGTTTTTTAATTATCAAAATCAGTAGTTTTGGGTAGCCATGGTTTAGTTTTGTTAGCCTTATTATTTGAAGTAGCAAAAATAAACAAAATAGAATACTTATGTTATTCAGAAAATAACAGAATAGACAGTAGTAATAAAAGCTACATACATAGCAGCATAGAGTTAATTTTGTTTTGATTTGTTTTCATTCAGAATCATGCTGGTTGCTAGAAAACCCAAGTAGCTCTCAGGTATTCTAGATTATAGCCAGTACTAAATGTAAACATACTTTGTTCTAAAAATCATTTGAAAATCATTTGACCCGTAGATTACTTCTTCCTGTAGCTGAACTCTGATATTATTAGTTAATAGTTTTATCAGTATTACTAGTACCTGTGTTCTAACAGTTCGTTCATAGACCTCATAGGATTTAGAAAGAGAAGGAAGAGGTTCCTTCTATATTTCTGAATGCAGGACTGTTGTAGGTAATATTTTGTAATAGGTGAAGTATGATGGCAGAATTTCTCAGAGCTCTCCTGCTGCCTTAGAGACCACCGCCACGGTAGCCCACAAAATGCTAAAGCTCTCAACTGGGTGTCAGAAGGCCCAGGTTCTAGACCAGATCTGCTATCACCTCAGCACCGTCTAACAGGACTTTCTGCAATGATGGAAAAGCTCCATGTAGTAACCACTAGCCACACGCACGTATCGAGCACTTTATTTATTTATTTATTTATTTATTTATTTATTGGTGCAAAAAAGTGGTTTTATTAAAGCATGGGGACAGGACCCGTGGGCAGAAAGAGCTGCTGCCCCGGGGGCGACTGATTATATACTTGGGAGTTGGGGGAGGTAAGGAAAAGGAGATTTTCAAAAGAACTTTCATAAATTATTTTATTTTCAATCAAATAGCTGCATGTGGCTAGTGACTACGTATTAGGATGTGCAGAATATGACACAGGTCATAGTTTTACCCTTTCGTGGCTTTCTTTTACTGAATTAAAAGGGAGGACTTAGACTAGTGACATCCAAGCTCCCTCCCTTCTGACTCTAAATGTACCATTCCTCTACCATATTTTTAAATTACTTTTTCTATGTCTCCCCTCCTGAATTGCAAACCTTGATTCCTTCCGTGCAGATGATCTCAAATGTTTATAAAGAGAAAGATGACTGACCTAATAAATTCTACCTGCTGTGGTCTCTTTATCTTTCCAGAGTTGTTTTATTTTCTGAGAAGGCTCATCTTAGGTTAAATGAACCTCAACATAGTGCAGTTTCAAAATTTTTACTTTAAAAAAATGGTAACAACTAGTTATTATTATACTAGTTTGCTGTTATTTTAAGAATAGTGCAAGTTTTATATGTCCTAAAAATTTTATTTGAAATTTAGTTATACTTAGGTAAAATTTTCTTAGTAATTCTCCCTTTCACAGAAAATAAGTGCATCCTTCCACATATTTTTGTATGTGTATATGAACATACACTGCGTGTGTGTGTGTTTAAATAAGAACGTAGGTATGCCTTGTTTCATAACCTTCTCTTTTCTCTTAACATGATGTTGTAGTTATTCTTCCCTGTGAGTATCTGTGAGTTCACCTCCTCATTTGTAGTGACTGCATACTGTATCATTGCATAGATATATCACAACGTACTTAACCAAGGCCCAGTGATGGACCTTTAGATTATATTTTATTTTTGTTTTCTGTTGCTATTTAACACAGTGCAGTGAATTGTCGGAAATATATATCTTTGCTCACCTGTTAATTATTTTCTTAGGCCAAATTCTTGGAAATGGAATTGGTAAATTCCTAGAAATGAATCACAGATGGTGCAGATTTAAAGTTTGATATGTATTGCCAAATTGCTCTTTAGAAGAGTTGTACCAATGATAATTCCACCAGTAATATATGTCTGCCCATTTCTCTGTTCTCCTAGAACTAAGCCTTATCATTTTTGAAAATTTGGACCCACATGATAACTAAAATGTCTCTAGTCACATTCTAGTTTGAATCAGCTCCGTATCTGCCGGCGATATTTCTAAGTCTCTTTGTGTGCTACTGATCCTTTAAAAAATTGTGTAAGGTGGCAAATTCCGTTATTTCCTTTATCTGTAACATGGTTGGAAAATCCCTGCGACTAACATTTTTTTATGATTAAAATATACAAATTGATCTTTTTTTCTATTAAAAATATGAAAATCTAAAGCTTCGGGTTTCTTAAATGAAAAAATTATAGTTATTTAAAGCTGGAAATTCACTTTATGTATATGTATATTCATGTGCATATGGATGTATGTGACATATATCTCTTTATGTGTGTATGTGTGTGTGTATCAAATTCATCATACTTTATTAAAATTTTGATTTGTTCTCCCTGTCATTCCAAATAGATAATTCCTACATGGATAAAGATGAGCATGGTTCATCCTCTGAAAGTGAAGATGAAGCACTGGGTAAATATCACGAGGCCTTGTCCAGAACCCACAATTCCAGACTACCATTGGCAGATTCAAGACAAAAGAACTATGCTTGGGAAACAAGACAAAAATACAGTCCTCTGTCTGCGGAGTATGATGGCTACAGTAGCGAAGCGTCCATAGATGAAGGTAACACAGGTTACTGTGTGTGTGTGTGTGTGTGTGTGTGTGTGTGTGTGTGTGTGTGTGTGTGATCTTTATTTTTTTATTATTATGTTAATCACCATACATTACATCATTAGTTTTTGATGTAGAGATTACTTACTTTTTTAGATCACACACTATAGTATTAGATTATTTGTACCTAAAATTCTAGGCATCTGTGGCCGCACAATAAACAAGAGATAAACAGAGTCACATTTCTGTGAATATAATTTATCAAAATTCAGATCTTTGGACTGAAGCCAAAACCTAAAACACCTAAAAGCAAAACACCAAATAATTTAAATACCATAGTAATTCTGCTTCTCTTTACACAGTGTAAGCATGAGGTAGAAGATGTGAGTCTGCTGTTCTCTCACATGGAATCGGTCTCTAAATACCTGGTATAGGAACTGACAGAGAGTCTAAGTCTCTTAACAGTGTTGAACTTGATTCTAGTGTGTAAATGTATGCTTTTTCATCCTTTGTGGCCCCTAAACAGAAGCCAAATACTTCATGTGGCGCACAGCAGAAGAAATGGTGATCTGTTCTGTGTAGGGGGAAAAAGTGTCCAGGATGGATGGAGAGCTCGTACTGTATTATACTTTGCTGTAAGGATGACTTTAGGAATTTTCAAGGATTATTTTGTCTCTAATTGATCTTTGCTTCATGTACTGACATAGGCTTAAAACTCATATAGAAGATACATGTCCACTCTAACATGTTTTTACATCTTTCTCTAAGGGAAATTAATTGCCGTTCATTGAAGCATATTTATTTCTACATTTTAGGTAGGTTGCTCACATGCTTGATAGAATGTATCAGTACTCCTAGTAATTATTATCTTTATACTCATTTATGAAGAAGAGAGCAATATATCTTGGACAATTTTTTATTACATCAAACACAAGCTATCCTTCATTTTTGTAGCTGTGGTTTGTGTTTAAGGGCCTATAACTATTGATTACATCAAGTCTTACTCCAGGACACAGAGTTGTCAAAGGAGCTAAGTCATCTTTTTTTAAATTCGGCTTTATGCTAGCTAATGACTGATGTATACCTCCTTTTTCTTTCTACTAGTACACAATTTATAATAAATTAATCAAATTACTATGTAGAAAGTTCATTATGAGATGGTAGGGAAGAAATAAAAAATATCAGACTCTACCCTCAAAAATACCTTTCTAGTACTAGAGAAAAGAAAGCCCGTGCTTACAAAGAGAACTGAGTGACGCGAAGCAGTAAAGCCAGTCCCCACCATATATCCACCCCGTCCACCCCTGGCAGGTGAATAGTAGAGTCTCAAGAGAATGGGTTTTGAACCTGATCCTTGTTTACATTCTGGCTCTGCGACTTAACATATTAGCCCCAAACTTCGGGCAGTATAGCTAATGGTTTTTAGGTTTGTTTCATTGTCTCTAAAATGTGGATAATACCTTCCTGACAGGGTTGTCATGAACATTCCATGGTATATGTGGTGGTTTGTAGCATAGTTCTGGCCCCTGTGGGTAAGTGACCAGTAATGGTCATTGTGGTCGCGGGTGGTGAAAACAGTGCTGGTGATGAGAGCGAGCGGTCCTGCGCATGGGCTGTTTGTCATCTGTGACCCAGGACCCTTCCCTTTTTGTAGCTTCAGTTGAGGGTTTTTATTTTTTCCTCCTCACTGCTTCTTCCCCCTCACTCCCTACACTTCTGTGCTGTCTTGACTGCTTCCCCACAGTTCTGTTATTCTAGCATGGCTCTATAGTTGGGGAGAAAAGCAGTGAGGAGAGAAGCATAAGCTCCGTGGCTCTTCTGTTCCTGCCCGAAGCTCTGGAACTGGTGCCAATGTCCTGGAGTCACCTTCTCATTTCATTTTACCTATATCTTTGGGACCCATCTCTACTGTCTTACCATTTCTACTCTACATTAATTGATAAAACACCCAGGGTAGATTGACTTTAGGCATTCTGAAATTAGATTTATTTCATAAACATTTGTCAAAAGCTTTTTATGTGCCATACTATGTACTGTGGATGTAAAGATGAATAAAACAAGCTTGTTTCAAAGAGCCCACAGTCTAGAGGAGGAAGACCATTGACTAGTTTCATGAACAAAGTGCTGTAGACATTCAGAGAAGGAGGAGACTCAGTTGTTGTTGGGGAGGTGGGGTTATGGAGAAGTCTAATGTAGTCTTCACAGACTAGGTGAACTGGACTCAAGTAAGATCTGTTTCAACAGCCATGGGATCTTGAAAGCAAATGAGAGTGTATTTTAATGTCTACCTTAGGATCTGTGTTTGGAGATTAAGTGGGTAATAGGTTTGAATGCCATGTTCAGGACTTCATTATCTTATAGGAAATATAGAGTCCTGGAAGATTTTTAAGCTGGACAATGTGGCACTTTTAGAAATGTACTTAAGAAAGATTATTTAACTATTGTAATGGAAAATGAATTGGAGGTAGAAAGGACCAGTTGGATAAACAGTGATGAGACCTTCATTTGCAGTGAGTTTGGGGACACACAGTTTGTAGATTTAAGGATGATCTCAATATATCTTGAATGATTGAATATGTGCAGTGAGTGAAGAATCAATATTTTTCATTAGTTCAGAGAGTACTAGAGAAGTAAGTTTATGTGGGAGGAGGTAATTTAGTTTCCGTCATGCTGAATCAGAAATGTCTGGAACATTGGGGTGGAGATAGATATCCTTACTGTTAAAATGCTGTCATTGGGATTTAGGATGGAGAGATGACCAAGTGATAATGTAAGAAAACAGTAGACTAGGAGAATAGTTTTGTATCATAGGTTATTGCTTATTGAAAAGTCAAAGTCGCTTGGAGCCCAAAATAAGATTCAGTGGAGTGGGGGAAGAAAGGAGAATTCGATTGGAGGGGGAGATTTCAGACATATACACAAAGTCTTAGGTAAAAGCAATTTCAAGTGATAGTAAATTCTTAACATGCCCCCTCAGAAAGTTACAGAAGAACCATGGTGTTCACCTTCTGCCTCCAACCCAGCAGTGGTAACCCTCTTCTGGCATATATTTGGGAAGGAAAGGGATTTGGTTCAAATACACATTTGCGTCTCCACCAGATGGTCATTCCTCTGAGTAGCTAAGGCAGCAGAAATACTTGGTGGCTGGTCACCTAAGAGGACTGCTGAGTATAGTTCTCTTGGTAGAATTTGGTTCATTTTCCTGAGGAACAAGTAAAGGGATAGACATAGTAGGTTATGTTTCTCTATTGCTCTGACCTTTTATTCTGCATATTATTCTGCAAGTTTATAGGGATCACAGTTAACTGAGGTGTAGGTTGAGGTAACTAAAGGGAATTACAAGGTAGAGGGAAAAAATATTCTTTTTTTTTTTTAAAGATTTTATTTATTTATTTGAGAGAGAGAGAATGAGAGCTAGAGAGCACGAGAGGGAAGAGGGTCAGAGGGAGAAGCAGACTCCCTGCTGAGCAGGGAGCCTGATGCGGGACTCGATCCCGGGACTCCAGGATCATGACCTGAGCTGAAGGCAGTCGCTTAACCAACTGAGCCACCCAGGCACCCGAGGGAAAAAATATTCTTAAATGTCCATTTTTTACATGACAATCTGTTACCTCATTAGTGCTGGTAAGGAACCATTAGTTCATTTCTCAACACTGAATAATTCTAGTAGAGAAGCTTTGGAACAGCCAAAGTTCTTTCAGTACTGGAAGTATCTGTAAGATTAGGGAGGGTCAGGGAGGGCCTGGATAGTCTCAGAGAGAATAGGACAGACTCTGACCAGGTGGTAAGAACCACCATATTGAGCTCCTACTGTGTACCTGACTGTCACTTTCTGTACACACCAGTACTATTTAATTTTCACTGCAGATCATTGTGGTAGGTAAGATTATCCCGATTTTACAGAAGTGAGAAGAGATTTTAGATCAGGTAGGTAATTTTTAACCTAAGGTCACACAGTAAGTTATAAAAACTCTATTTGTCAGGTCCACTCCAAAACGAATATGGTTTTAGCTTCTGTTGGATCATCACTACTACTTTGGTGTCCAACCAAGGCCTCTTTCATACGTGATTAACCTCTTCAGTTGAGTCCTTTAGAACAGTTTATATATATAAATCTGAAATACAGATACTCTAGAAAAAGTAAGAAAATGTGATGGCATATTTGTTATCATATTTTCTCCTCTAGGTGGCCATATTAATCTTCCATTTTTTTGAATTACAAAAGGGAATGATAGCTATAAGAAATTTTTCCAGGAAAAATAAACATTAAAATAATATATCCAATTTCCTTTGTTCACAGTTTTAATTTTATTTTTACTGTGTTGTTCTTAAAATTAAAGGCATTTTCTGATAATCCTATTTTATTTTTAAAAGGTTTCAGAGTTAAGTAGTAGGCTGCAGATATTTTGCATTTGGTAAGATAGAACCTCTGAAATTCCATTCACACTAATTAGAACTTTCCATTTCTATATTAGATAGGAGAAGCCTATTAAAGATGATTTTATATATAAAGAACAAATTTAGTGTAAAATTATTAGAATGTCTGTTGCTTATAGCTTTCCATTCTTAGTTCACCATAGGGATTACCAAGCTATATTTACATATTGTGACATAGCTATATAACTAAAATCATATGTTGTTATTTCAGGGTGAGTTAATTGAAAATGCTATGTAAGATAATTTCCAGCACCACTTATTTCTTAGGGTTATGTGGCCCAGACATATACACACACCTGTAATTCTCTTTCTTATGGCTACTTCACAAGCTTCATGCTATTAATTTTGATGTTATCTTAAGATTAGGGGCATTAAAACATATTGACTTATACATTTTATTTAAATGTTACTTCTAAAATAATTTAATGCTTAAGAATAATTATTTATACTTTTTAAATAAATTATGTATACTAAAATAAATTATGTAATACATATGCATATATGTATTATGTATACTTTAAGTGCATTTTAACTGCTTTATAAAGATTATTAATTTTCACAATTTGTGACGAAGG